TATCAACACGTATATCATGCTACATAAATATTTCACATAAATTTACTGCAATTTTTGGCCCTTAGTTGACTTTTTGGCCCTTAGTTGACTTTTAATATAAGAGTCGACTCTTTTCCCAAAAGAGTCGGCTTTTAAAAGAACAGAGTCGACTATACCCACCACTGAGAACTTTCCTTGCTCTCTGGAATTTGGTAGTCGAATGTTGCTCCTTCACAGTCGAATCTTGGACGCATTAGAGTCGACTCTTCATGTATAGAGTCGACTCTAACCTGCAGCAGGATGCTCAAATCTCTTTGAAAATTGGGAGTCGAATCTTATCCTATATACTCGACTCTAACCTGCAGCAGGATGCTCGAACCTCTCTGAAATTTGGGAGTCGAATGTTGATCATATATAGTCCACTCTTAGAGGCTTTAAAGTCCACTCTTAATTCATAGAGTCGACTCTAACCTGCAGCAGGATGCTTCAACCTCTCTGGAATTTGAGAGTCGAATGTTGATCCTATATAGTCGACTCTTTGAGGATTTAGAGTCCACTCTTCATTCATAAAGTCGACTCTAACATGCAGCATGAATCTCAAACCTTTTTGGAATTTGGGAGTCAAATGTTGCTTTTATATAGTCGATTCTTTGAAGGTCGACTCTTTATGTACAGAGTCGACTCTAACCTGCAGCACATGCTCGATGTGTCCAATGTTGCTCTTATACAGTCGACTCTTTGAGGGTTAATAGTCGATTCTTGATGTATATAGTTGACTCTAACATGCCTGAAATGCTCAATCCTCTCTAACATACCCCAACTTTTGTACTTGTTCTTACTACACTTTGATTTTACCATATCACATTACATACAATGTCATTTATCATATCACATATTTTCAATTCATCACATTATTATAAATATGTACGACTTATATCATTTCATCATCTCATAATCATAAATTAAAAGATAAGTATATAAGTACCACGTGCAACATTTAACATGACTATTTACATATTCTAAACTTGCAAGTCATAATAATACAGTTAATATTACCACAAACCATTCAATTCCAACTGACATATACACACATGTCCTAACAAGTTCAAATCACAAACCCAGAAACTAAAAGTATTTTCCTCAAGTATCAAGAACATGCCAAGTTTTGCGTTCGCAATCTCATGCACACTGATCATTCCGGCCCAAATGGACCTTGGTAATCTGTATCAAATCTCGGCTGGTAACCATAATCATCTTGTGGGGGATTGGCTGAAGATGTACCTGGAGATCCTGATTGTCTCCCCATTTGGCCCATGGGGAATGTAGGTTCTATTGGCATTTGCATTGGCATTGCATGAGGAAACGATGGCCCACCAGCATGAAACGATGGCCCAGAAGTAGGGAATGATGTCCCTACATGAGGAAATGCTTGCCCAGTGTGAGGCAATGATGGGGTAGCAGTAGGAGGGCGCATCCCGTAGGCACTAAAAACAGCAAATTGCTGCGATAGAGATGCCTACATCCTCCCCATGTCTTCCAGCATCCGTTGCATTGCTTCTCGTTGCTCTTTGACTTACCCTATTTCGTCTCGCATCATTTGCATTGCCTCCCTATCTTTGGCTTGTTTTTCAACCATGTCTGATATCATTAGGCTCACATATGAAGTCCCCGTTGGTTGTCGTTTTCTATATGTAAACCCAAGTTCCTTTGGGTTTACTTGTGAACCAATTCTTGGCATGAAAGTGCTGTGGCATCCCCCAACAGCAGTTGCCCAAGCGTCATTGTCCCGAGGTAGCCATGATGCTGAGTTCGAGCCATATATAGCAGAGCACTCACTGACGTATGTATCCTACAAAAGTAATGCAAAAAAACTACAACATATAATTGCAAATTTTTAAACGTTGTATACACATAACAATGCTGAAAATGTAATCATTATTATTTACGAACAGGTGATAACAAAGTAACAATCATCGAGAGACAATCAATACCCAAACAAAATTATTTCATTAACACCTACACATACTAATACTTACTCATGCAAAATTTTTGTTATATTCTATTTAACACCACTAACTTTATTAATAAACCTTTTATTCACTTTTTCTAACAATCTATGTCACTCATAGAAATCTTTTTATTTAGTATGTTCGCACTTACATGCCGAGTCTTATGTTTGTCGCCACACCATAGAGCTTCTTGTCCTTTGGGGACACCTTTTCGTAAAGTATGTGTTTCCTTGTATAGCTCTTGGTGTGCTAGCCTTACCCCCCCAGCAGCTTTGGTCTGTGTGTCACAACCATATTATACGAGGTTAGCAAGTTATTATATTTATAGTTAATCGATAATTATACAAAAATAATATAACTTGTGTTGATTATCTATTATATATATATATATACACTTTTCTTTCTTTTCTTACTTACCATCCGTTCTTCATGTACATCAAAACTTACTGATCTTGTAGTGTGTGTAACTCGTTCCCCAGATACTCGGTTTTTCTTCCCCCTCTCGCTAAGATTGTGAAACTCAGCAGAATCCCAATAAGCGCATAATGTAGGCCATAGGTGCTCAGGCACCCATACCGGCCTATACTCACCGTTTGCACGCCACTTTTCCCGTTCATCCTTCATATTATCGCCCCATCCTTTCTTCATTGATCTTAAGAACGCTTTTGGGACTGCATCCTCATCCTCTAAACCCCATTGATAATGTGTCTGTCACCACATACAAATAAATTATTTCCATGTAAGTTAATAACATATAGTATAATAACACATGTATATACATCATATCCCATTTTTCATATATACTTAATTACCATTTTGTCCATACAAAAGAGCTAATTGAAATGAATCAAAACTTTTAATACTTTATTGACAAACTCAGAATTATAAGGATTTTTGTGTCATATGATGATTATTATGATACCATATTGTTTTATGAAAGTCATATGATGACTGTTTTCTTTTCTTCTTCTTTTTTTTTTTTAAGTGTATGCAGTATTCATATCATTAAATTACCTATATCGACCAATACACCAACAATAGTGACTTATACTTTATCATATATATTGTTACGTTATCATTAATCATACGCTACATTTTTTATGGAAGGATTATGTATGAAATGATAATTACTCTTACCTTAAACAACTCCCACACTTGCAGCCTTTTCTGTTCTGGGAACAAGTCAAAGGTGAAGTAATCACCATCATAAACCCTCTTCCATAGGGTCGTAATCAATCTGGGGACTTCAACATCCAAGAAGGTGCCTTTATGCGAAATTTGTATAAATGGTCTTTCATCTGCTCTTCTTGCAGCCCTTTTTGGTTTGTTCGGACCTCTTTCCTTCTGCTTTCCATTATGGGATGAGGCTGCTGCATGAATGGAACCTTGTGGACTAATAGACCGAGTATGCCCCGCGTCCAATACTGGGGTAACGTCACATGCAAGATCTACAGAGTTGTGACGTCCTTGTCTCTCTGATGTGCTGCGACTACGCGCGGAGTTGATAGGCCCACCCGACATCCTGCAAAACATATAGTCACATAAAGTATGTCAATACTAATGTCACCATATAAATATATGTGCAGTTTATAAATTTTCTATTTATAAACATTTACAACATCATAAATAATGGAAATGAAACAAAATTTGAAGAAATAGTCACTAGTCATTCATAAGTGCATTTGTTAATTACGAAGTCTTATACACAATTTATATTTTCAAATGACAACCAAATTTTAAAACTGCTATTGTACATGAACTTCAATTATTTAACGACTATTCAGTTTTACTACTATCGTCACCAACATCGCCTCTTGTTTCATATCCTTCATTTCCTTCACTCGGATTTTCATCAACATCATCATTTGCATCTCCATTTAAGTCAACCATTTTTGCTCCTTCTGCATGCAGATTCATGCGTTCTGTAGATGCCAAATTGGAACTATGCTCATTCGATTGTGTTGATGGTGGTTCCTCATCTTTGAATATTTCTTCCATATCAAATGAGGTTGAAGAAGCGTCGACCAAATGTCTAGCACGTATTTTGCATGCGGCGAACCATCCATGAGTTGCTCGATTATTTGATGGGTAACTACTGTAATACACTTGCGTTGCTTCACATGCCAAGCAAAATGGCTCGCCAGTCGACAATTGATATCGTGGGTTGACCTCAACAATGTTATAAACTTGGTTAATGCGTGTTCCCCTACGTATATCGAACCAATCACAATTGAATAAGACAATTGTCTGCATTTGCGCATGTGGTCCATAATACAATAGTTCGATGACTTCGTTAAGGATGCCATAATAATCAGTCTCAGCATCATCAGATATGGTTGTTCCTTTCACACATACACCACAATTATATGTTTGTCTATCACTACTGGCTTTTTGGGTCATAAATCTAAAACCATTGACATAATAACCTCTGTACACATTCACAGTCCATGATGGACCCAGTGCAAGGTATTGCAAAACCTCATTCCTTTCATGATAGCCATTTAACACCTACCAAATTTATATGTACGTGTTATTAGTCAAATTTATAATATTTTCGTTAAAAACTCAATTAGTTAATATATTGTATATGACTATATATGTATATGTATATAATAATATTTGAAAGAACATAACACAATGAAAAATATTGTTTACCCTATCTTTGAACCACATAACAAAACTTCTTGTGCGTGCTTCGTGTGGAGTCAAAGGGGTCACATATACACCAACTTCTCGATCAAAGATGCTGAAATATGGAAACACTTATGTGTGACCAAAAAATGGAATGTTGAACTTTCCTGCTATGATTCAGCAAGCTTACTCTAAAAATTTAATAAAAAGGAGTTTAGTTTGTCATATCTCACCTAAGAAGCGCATCAACTTCCCTACAGTTTAGTAGGACATAAAGTTCAGCTGCCTTCATCTCTTGAGTGGTTAGACAGCGTGTCTGTGAATGTGAACCCATTGGATGACCAAGGCACGCAAATATCGAGAATTCTGTGTTCCTATAAAATGGAACTACTGCAAAGTTCCTTGGGGGCTTACTCCAACTTGTTTCAAGATCCGCACCAAAATATCGTGAGCAAAATCCTGTTATTTCATTGAGAATGTATGCTTCGACAATAGATGCCTCAACATGATTCTTGTTCCCTATTGTTTGTTTAAGTTTGTGCATTTGTCTGTAAAATTTGAAATTAGATATAAGCATAACAAATTATTATAGATTCTGTTATACTTGAAACTAGTGCATGAAACTAGTGCAAACTTGTTTCCATTACCGTTCAAATGGGTACATCCAACAAAATTGTACTGGCCCACCAATTCACGCCTCGAAAGGAAGATGGATTGCTAGGTGCTCCATACAATCAAAAAATGACAGTGGAAAGATTCTTTCTAACTTACATATTATTTCAACTATCTTCGTTTCCCAAACTGCCATGTCTTTTATGTTGACATTTGGGGAACATAGTGCACGGAAGAAATTACTTACTTCTGTTAATGGACCCCATATAGAATCCGGTAACAAGCCACGGAAAGCAATTGGAATGAGGCGCTGCATTAATATGTGGCAATCGTGACTCTTCAATCCAACTAAGCGTAGCTCAGCTAAGTTCACACAACGTGCGATATTAGATGCAAACCCATCTGGAAATCGCACATTTTTTAGCCATGTACATAGACATCTTTTTTTATTCGTGTCCAGTGCATAACTTGCATTTGGCATGCAAAGCGACCTAGAACTGTCATAGTACAAATGCAGTTTTTCCCTATCACAGTACAATGGTAAGTCCATTCTTGACTTAACATTGTCTTTTGAGGACGAGTCATTCATGACTGTGTGTATGATGTTATCAAAAAAATTCTTCTCACAGTGCATGACATCAAGATTGTGTCTGATCAGGTTATCCCCCCAGTATGAGAGTTCCCAGAAGATACTCTGTTTGACCCAATTATGTGTTTCACCGAACCCGGGAATAGTTTGGTTTACTGATGGATTTCCAAATAAAACATCAAGTAGTGCAGCAACTCGATGTCGAACGGAATGACCATCTAATCATGGAGGAGAGGGCCCAAATTCTAGGTGACCCTTAAGGAATTGAGATGCATCCATTCTGTACGAGTGTGATGCAGGAAGAAATTGCCGATGACAGTCAAAGAAGCAGATCTTGCGACCATGTTGCAAGTAAAAAGCACGAGTCATTTCCATGCAATATGAACAAGACAGACGACCATGCGTGCTCCATCCAGAAACCATACCATAGCTGGGGAAATCTGTTATGGTCCACATAAGCATGGCTCGCATTGTGAAGTTCTGTTTATGGAAGCTGTCAAATGTTTCTACCCCCGACGACCATAACCATTTCAAGTCATCAATAAGTGGACGGAGGAAAACATCAATGTTTTTTCCTGGACTTTTTGGTCCAGAAATAACGAGTGTAAGGAATGTAAACTCAGGTTGCATGCACATCTCAGGAGGAAGATTGTAAACAACAATGAAAACAGGCCAACAGGAATATGACCTCGAAGAATGACCCCACGGGTTAAAACCATCTGTTGTAAGACCAAGACGGACATTTCGCAGATCGGATGCAAATGAAGGATGAACGACATCAAAGTGCTTCCAAGCAGTAGACTGAGCAGGATGAATGAGGATCTCCGAGTCAACACGACATTTAAGGTGCCATGTCATATGCTCAGCAGTTTTACGAGACATGTACAGCCTCTGTAGACGTGGAATAATAGGTAGATACCACAAAGAATTCCTGGGCCTACCCTTTTTTTGAGTTTGAACCAAGTTGCATTTTTTATACCTAGGTTCACCATAAACTAGACAAGCAATAAGTGACTTTGCCTCATCACCATAATACAGAAAGCAATTGTTGACACATGCATCAATTTTGACATAGCCTAAACCTAAGTTTTTCATGAATTTTTTTGCTTCATAAAAATTTGACAGTACTTTTTGCTGATCTTCTGGACTTAACAATTGCCTACAGCCCTGAATGATGTCATTGTAACCAACACCAGTTATGTTGTTTTTGGCTTTGTAGTGCAGCATATATGATAACCATCCAAGCAATGTTTGATTATTAGATGATGGTCCGAGTGGGATGGTTGAAGCACGCAACAAGTCATAAAAAGATTGTGCATGTCTATTTGGCACATCCCCAACACTTTCAGATGCGAACTCTGTTTCATTTCTAGGGTGATCATTTTTAGATGGACAAAATGCATGATAAACCATGTGATGGATATCATCCTCAGCATTAACATGTTCCTCAATATTAACATGTTCCTCAATATTAACATGTTCCTCAATATTACTTGAGGATGCCACATCACTTGTAGCTAACCATGGATCAACATTGTTACTTAAAGTTTCACCATGTGCCCACCACACAGAATATGCATCCATGAAACCATACCTCAACAGATGGTCTATTACAGTTGCCTTGTTGTGGTGAGGTAAATTTTCACATTTACTACAGGGGCAACGAATTTCGGCATTCAAGTGAACACCAGGACGACTATAGACGAAATCAAAAAATTGTTGTAATCCATTAAAGAAATTCGGCATCACAATCTTCACGAGGACCTCGTCGTCTATACATCCAACGACGATCATCTGTCATCTTTAACTGAATAATATAATTAAGATTTTAAGTAAATTAAATTATTATTAAGGTAATAATAGTAATTAGGTTAAAACCCCATTTTGGTCCCTCAACTATTGTACGGACCCCCGATTTGGTCCTTGAACTAAAAAAATCCCTGATTTGGTCTCTACTGTTTACCATTTTAACCCCGATTTGGTCCTTCCGTTAAAAACTAGCTTACGTGTCCCATTACCTAACGGATAAAGATGACAGCATGGCAAAAAAACAATGATATGGCAAAAAAAAACAATGACATGACAAAAAAAACCTTAAAATATTTCCTTTTCCCTTTTTTTTTTTTCTTCCTTTGATTTTCCTTTTTTTCCCTTTCGTCTTCTTCCTTTCCTTTCGCCTTCTGTAAACCCTAACAACTTCTAACATTAAACCAAAAAATAATACAAATCCAGAATCTCCCCAGACCATCACCGCCCTAAATTCTTTCTTTCAACCTCTCCAAAAAAACTCAGAAATATCTAGGCATATTTTTCCAAAATTCAAGCTTCTAAACATAAATA